TGGGTCAAAAAAAAAAAGACCCTGTTGTATTTTCGGGGAAACACAGTACTTGCAGGGACAGGGTCCTCCATCTTGCAGCAAGCGGAGGGAAAGGCTAATTGGCTTCACGCCTTTCCTCCCCCCCCCTGAGTAGTTTGGAGTTCCAACTGATCCCTGGTACAGAAGGGGTGTCAGACTCCACTTCTGCAGCTCTGCGAGAAGTGCTGCCAGCGGGAGACACTGTTTGGGCAGTGGGGCGGCTTAATTAGCCTCAGGAAGCTGTGCCTGGGTGAAACAAGCCGTGGCAAGCATTTTCGAGCCGCAGCAGAAGGAAAAAAGCCGTTTAAAACACACGAACACCTCCAGCGGCTGTTTTGAAAGTGTGCGAGTGGAGGCGGCCATTTTGGAAGTGCGCACATGATGGTGGTCATTTTCTAGCTCCAATTTCACTTAAATTGCATCGTGGCCAGAGTCGGACTGGCAAGCTCCAACCCAGGCAACCTGATATTGACTCCCGTGAGGCCCTTGCACAGGCTGGTGACTCAGGGCACTGAACCTTCTAAGGCACATGAGTGGCACCGATGGTGGAGAGCAGGTAGACCACTCCACAGGCCCAGGGGAGGGCTCAACTTGTAGCCGAGGAGGGGGAGATAGTTGGGCCTAGAACAAGGGCTGCAATAGCTAAACCTTCAGCGGCCCAACGCCCCTTCAGGGCAACCCAGAAAGATGAGAGCCGGCGTCAGAAGGCCCTGGAGAAGAGGATTGCTAGAGCTGAACAACAAGACCAGGCCAACAAACCCTCTTGAGTGGCAGATGCTACCCGATCTCTTCCAGAAGATTTGCCAGAAGTTCAGCGACCCGTTGGTGGGCTTATTCGTGACTCCAGCAAATGCTTAACTCCTGAAATTCTGTTGATTCCTGAACCGGGCTGCAGAAGGGACAGACGCTTTCCGGAGCAAGTGGCCTCCGGGCCTATTGTATGCCTTTCCCCCACTCCCTTTGATTACCAGGGAAGGTAGTGATAGAGAAGGCAGACATCATTCTGATAGTGACCCTCTGGCTCAGACGGCCGTGGTTTGCGGATCTTGTCCAACTATCCATCTCCCCCCCCCCTTGGAGAATTCCTCAGGAGGAGCTCTTTCTGTGCCAGGGGGTCTTGATCGATCTGGAGCCCCAGTGGCTTCACCTGACTGCCTGGCGCTTGAGTGGAGCCTCCTAAGAAGCGTCAACTTTTCAGCCCGAGTTATAACCACCATCGAGGCTTCCAGATGTCCCTCGACCACGCGAATATATAATTCCACGGGGCGGCGTTTGTCAAATGTTGCAATCCACTTCGGATTTGTCCTACTGAGGCTTCAGTGGCACAAATTCTGGATTTCCTCCAGAAGGGTCTGGACGGGGGTCTTTCCCATAACACCTTGCGGCACCAAGTGGCTGCTCTGGCCTCAGTGCTCCCAGGGGAGCACCATTTGTCCCTGGCCCACCATTCCCTGATTAAGAGATTTTTGAAGGGAGCCACTAATTTACATCCCTCGGTTCATAGGTTCATAGGTTCCCAACTTGGGACCTCCCCCTAGGGTCTTGATGGGGGGGGGCTTTGAGCCTTTGCGCACTGTCCACCTTAGGTTCCTGTTCTGATCCCCACCTTGTCCGTTCAGAAATGAAAGCCAAACAACGTTCAAAGGAATGTTTCTTATCAGTCCCGGCTCTTGCTGGCTGCGAGCCCAAAATAAACACAGATAAACACGCTGGCAGTAAGTCTCACAAACCTAGACAATGCAAACAGGCTTCCCACTTCTCCAAGTTGGTTTAAGTCTCACAAACCTAGGCAATGCAAACAGGCTTCCCACTTCTTCAAGTTGGTTTAAGTCACTTCATGAATGTGAACAAGAACGTTGACTTCTGCAACCAGGGCATGGCACCATCAGTCTCTTTTATCCACAGGAGGAGATCCTGCTGCTCGTTATCATCTCCTGTGAGTCCTCAATTGTTCCTTACATTAGTCAGCCCTTCTCCTGTGTGCATCCCGAAACAACTCACAGGAGGTTTCTGTGTCAGCCTTTTGTCTCCTCCCCACTGATCCAAGGCTCAGCCATTACCTGGGGACCAACTAATCTCTCTGCGCCCTGCTCGGAGTCAGAACCCTGTCCAAGGTCCTCCGCCTCCTCCAGGGCTGACTCATAGGGCCCCTCGCTGTCAGAGTCTGATAGCAGCTCCAAAGGCTCCTGCCGAGCCACAACAGGTTCCTAACTCTTAAGGTGGCGTTCCTTGTTGCCATAACTTTGGCCAGGCACATTTCCGAGCTGGGGGCCCTGTCCTCCAAGGATGATTCTGCCAATTTCACCAGGATAGGGTGGTCCTACGGCTGGACCCTATCTTCCTTCCTAAGGTCATTTTGCCCTTCCACCAGGCACAGGAGATCATCCTTCCCAGTTTCTGCCCAGCTCCATACCATGAGAGGAAGCGACTCTGCACCGACTAGACGTTTGTCGGCCTTGCGCATTTATCTACGGTGCACGTCTGCAGTCCATTGGTCTGAGGCCCTGTTCATTTCATTTCAGACTGGCTCCCTGGGGGCCAGGGCTTCCTCTGCCACCATTGGCAGGTGGTTATGACAGGCCATCTCTATGGCCTACGAGTCCTCAGGCCGCCCCCCCTTCAGGAATCACGGCCCACTCCACAAGGAGCACCGCTACTACAGCAGCGTGGGCCACGTGGGCTCCATTCAAAGACATTTGTCGGGTGGCTACTTGGTCATCCCCAACTCTGTTCATCCGACACTACCAGCTGGATGCCTTTGCATCGGCAAAGGTGGCCTTTGGGCATAGGGTGCTACAAAGATAGCAACCGCCCCTCCCCCCCGAAGCCTAGTGTTGTTCCCCCCCCAGGGACTGAGCTTGGGTATGTCCCAGGAGTTGCCCCTCCCTCAAGCCTACCGGAAAAAGAACATTGGTCCTTACCTGAATGTTTCTTTTCGGTACGTGAGAGGGAGGGGCGACATCCCACCCCAGTTAGTGATAGAAGGTAGTCAGTCGGGTTGAGGTGTGTGTGAGGGTTGCCCTTGCTGTGTCTGTTTTTTTGACAGTACGTTATGGTCATGCGACTTCAAGGAACTGGGAGCCAACAGGGAAAGGAGGAAATTAAAAGAGATTTCCCTCAGTCTTTGGACCAATCAGGCTGTGAGAATATCCCAAGAGTCGCCCCTCCCTCTTGCCTACCGAAAAGAAACATTCAGGTAAGGACCAATGTTCTTTCTGGGAAAAAACGCACACAATTTTATTAGTAAATTTGACTATAATTATACATGGTTTATATTTAGACACATAGAAACCAGATACAATTAGACTGTGGTTTTATTATTCATTTTTTGCCACATCCTTCCTCCCAATCACTGGTTCAGGCAAGCCATTACTTTGCTCACCCACATAAATAGGAAGGCTCTATCGTGTTCTTCAAAACTGGAGTAGTTGCAAACAGGAAAAAGTGCCTAGTTGAAAGAAGCAAGAATAGTGCTTTGCTCAGAAGAATGGTTCTTGTCATAATAAGAGTTCATATTATGTTGACAAATGAACAGATACATGGACACGCAATATACTGAATAAGAATAGAGTTGTTAGCAATTTATTTTAATTTTCTGTGGAAAGGAGGGAGAAAGTTTTGTTAGTCCAGGAGTTGGGGAATTTGGGAGAGCAAGATGCCCTGTGAAACTGACCTATTTCTACTGTCATCCTGAGGGAAAAGGGTGTTGGTCCTTACCTGATACGCCTATTTTCATAGTGGGGGAGTAGCATCCAGACTGGGTTGACTTCATCTGCTCATTGATTGGACTGCCTGACAAGACTGTTAAGCCACGTCCCTGTTGCTAGGCAGACCCAGTTTCTGATGAAGGACTTCTATCAGACTCGATGTGTCATCTTCTCCAGACAAGTGTTCAGATCTCTAATATCATTTTTATTTTTAAAAAACAACTAGTAGCAGTAATTTAACAATAATACACTGCCAAACCCAGGGAGGGGCTGGATGCTACTCCCCCATTATGAGAATAGGCATATCAGGCAAGGACCAACGACCTTTCTCCATAGTGGTGGTAGTAGCATCCAGACTGGAACGTACCAAAGCTAAGGTGTCCCTATACATGGTATATACAAGACCTATACATGGTCTGCTGAATCAGGTGTGTCTATGAACAGACTGTAGCACCCTGTGTCCAAAGGTGGCGTCTGCATAAGCAAAAGAATCTAATTTATAATTCTTCATGAATGGTGAAGGAGATGCCCACGTAGCCACCCTACAAATCTCTGTCAAAGAAGCTTGCGTAGCCCAGGTGGCCAAAGTAGCCGCACTTCTTGTAGAGTGGGCAGTAATTGTCCCTGNATGTGTGTGTGTGTGTCTCTCTCTCTCTCTGTGTGTGTGTGTGAGAGAGAGAGAGAGAGAGAGAGAGAGAGGGGTGTTTTAATAATTTGTGTCACGCTCATTTAATCTGGATTCCTGATTCCTAGCGAATGAGATTGAGACCCTCTGGCATTACTCAGGCATCACTTTTATTTTATGTCATTTGATAGTATAGCAAATAAATACAGTTTTCAGTTTCAAAATACCTGATTTTTATAATTCACTTCATACTTTGCAAAAATCAGCATTTTAAAAATAAATATGTACAATAGCTAGTTTTTTGGCTAGAGTGAGAGTGCCATGTGGGTGAACAAAGACTTCATTCAGCTATTTTCAATTTTTTCTTATGCATTTGTTAAAATTTATAGATGGATGGATAGATAGATAGATAGATAGATAGATAGATAGATGATAGATAGATAGATAGATAGATAGATAGATAGATACTAAATGAGAGGCTGAGTTAAATTTTTACAGTCTAATAATTTTGCTCATGATTCTTATTAGTGAACTCAGGACTTTTATAAGGATAGAGAAATTTCTATCAAGTAATTCTCAACTGTCACTGCATATATCTGAGTCTCAGTTTTTGAGATCAACCTTATTTCCTATACCAGACCTAATCTCTGCTCAGATCATGTGGTTGAATCAAGGTTTAGAATGTGCTGTGGAGATGGAGTTAAATTATTCCAAGTTATATGGCAATAACCTTGACTATGAGAGCCAAGAACAACAGAAACTGATTCTGAAGGATCTCTGTACTTCAACAATTGTAAGTATCTATGAATAATGAACTATAAAGCCAAACACACACAAAATGTACAGTTGAATCATTCAAATTGGGCATGTGTGCGCGTGTGTGCACAAGTAATTTTCAGTACTCACAGAACAATAAAATGTTCTTGCAGACTCTTAAGCTATATAGTCTGAAAACAACAGGAAAATATCAGCTGTATTGGCTGCCCTCTCTGGAGTTATAATACTGAAGGTTTTCTCTTCGGGCACAAGCCATTTTTGACGGAATAGAATGGGCATTATATAAACTCTATCAAAACAGCATCATTCAAAGAAGTTCAAAAATTGAACAATTGAATCAGTGTATACTGTATAGACATACTCTGTAAAATGTAAGAACATCCAGAGAAAAGTGCAGCATGAAATGTGAGTTTTCTCTTGTTGAAAAAGTTGTTAAACAGCATGGGCCAAATATGGAGCTTTTCGAGCATCTATGTATTGTAATCTCCCAGTAAGAGAGGTCTGAAATCTATTGGACCTCCTGCTTCTAGATAAAATAATGGATGCAGCTGAAATCTTCTGTTAGCATTACATGTTGCCATTTTGAGAATTTGTTTAATTTCTTCACAGGCATGTGGACTCTTATGTAGGGAAAGAATTAATATACAGAATTTTTGCAATAATCAAGCCCTAAATACTTCAAAACATGCTTTGTTTTGTAAGTCACTTAAAATCATGATGCCTCAGTGTTTTTGACCAGGTCAATTTAGGGAGTGGCTTAATTGTGTGGTGACATCATGTTTAGTCTACATTCTAAAAAAATGCGAGAGGTGTGTGAAACACATCCAGTATTATAGAAATAATATGAATTATTGACTCAGTTATAAAACAGGTAATTTTTAAAAGTAGAAAATATAGAATTTTGCACAATGAAGTACCAGTATATTTTTTTCTCTTACCCAGAAAAGGCTATGACAAAGGCACTTCTGTTCTTGGTATGAGATATAAAATATTACAATGGATTCACATTGAAGGACAGTGGATTCTTATGAGGCACTTTACCTTTTTTGGAGAGAAATTTCCAAAGCAGTTTTTACTCCTTTCATCTTACTTTTTTTCTTCAGCATTTTTCAGAGACCAGCTGTAAGAATGCCTCTTCCTTTTCAGTGGCCCTCTTGGCAATTGTCTGGGCCTTTAACACCAGTGGAATTCTGCTCAGTTTTTTCTTAATTGTCTTCACAATTCGCTTCAGAAAAAATAGGTAAGGCCAAGTCAATCCTATGTTTTTACTCTCTGGGCAAGATCTTCTGATTCTTTGTTATTGAAGAATTTCTCAAGAGAAGAATCTTGTTTTTGTTTATAGCAGTTCTATACATTTTAGTGTGTTCAGGATCTGCAGTAAACATGACTTGGGACTCCTTGTTGTCACTCGTGAGAGTGAAGTCAAACCTATCAAACACAACGAGAGGGCAATAAATGGGCCTTGGTAAGGCTCTGGAAGTTTTAAGTGCCAAATGCTAACCTAATGAAAATTTAAAACTAAGGAAAGAGTGGGCTTTTACATTTATTTACTTATATAGGCAGCTGTATTATTCTGCCTAGTCTCCCTAGAGAAAATATTACAATATGTGTACTTCATTAATTCTTACATTTCTGAACTGCATATGTAGCAGAAAATAATTTCCTAGGTAGTCCCAAACAAAAAAAAAAATGGCTTGAAAGTTTCAGAATCAACTATTATATAAAATAATTGAAAGCAGAATGAGCCAATCACTCCACACGCCAAATGCTGAGTAGTGACAGCAGGTGTTCAATGGTTTGACCCGTATCCTTACAGCCTGGGTGTTGTGTTCAGATTTGAATGACAAGGTTGTCTCCTTACCAGTGGTGGGTTCCTACCGGTTTGGACCAGTTCAGCCGAACTGGTAGTGATTTGGTGGCCTGGGTCTCTGGAACCGGCAGCGACCCAGGCCTGCCATATCCCCGAACTGGTTCTCTGGGCAGCGCCATTTTTTTTTGCTTCTGCTCATGCACAGAGCAATTTGCGAGTGGGGAACCTCCTATTTCCTCAAGTAGCAAAACATCTAATTTGTGCTTGGTGGGATGATTTTTTCAATGATTAACATGGGCAACGTAAGTTTATACATTTTGCCCCTTAAAATGCCACCAAAATACAAAAAAAAATCTGCATTTTTCCCTCTGTCCATTTTGGAATGAAAAAGGGGTGCTGGTAGACTGCACAAGGTTCACAGTTTTTGCATCGTTGCTCTAAAAGATAATTCAAGCTTGAAGAAACAACAACTAAGTATGATGGTCAATTATCCTAAATTTCTTGACAACTTTAGAAACCTCTGACAATAGGATCCTTCTGCACCAGAATTAGAGATGGGGATTAGGGAATTCCGTTCTTAGTGGAAGAAAATGTCGTTTTTAAGATGATACTTCAGGGAATGTAATTAACTTGGAAGGAGAGAGCGTTTCAGTTCTGGCTGATACTTTTTCAGTTAGGAAGAAAAGCAGAGTAGTGAAATCCAGGTACAGTGTCTCGAGAAACAAACTCTTGTAGCACATATTGAAAGGAAAGTCTAATGCACTTATTTCCTCCAATAACTCTTTTTCTCATGTTCTCTCCTTTATCTTCTACAGGATTGTGAAAATGTCTAGTCCAAACTTGAATGTTGTGACTCTCCTGGGGAGTGGCTTGACTTACGGTACTGTATATCTCTTTGGGATTGAAAAACAGAATCCTTTGAGCAGACCATCCTTAGAGATGCTGATTCAAGTAGGTGAATGCACATTTTGAGAACAATCTTGAGATTTGTAATGTATTGATTGTTGAAAGAAATGTCCATCTGGGTTCAGTTCCAAGTGGGGAGAAAGACACTGGAAACATGGAAGCTGCTTGGAAAGATGGTTTAATGGTGCCCAGACCACATGCTTTGAGATCCTGGGCAAAAGAAAAAGCACATGGGTGGGAGAGAGAGATAAATTTGTACCCTCTCTTGGGCCCCGTCTTGAAGCTTCCTGTTCCTGTGTTAGACAAGAATTCTGATTATTTGTCAGACTCCCATGGGGCCATGCAGGGGTAACTTTGTAGTGTCTTGAGTCCCAAGCTTGGTTGAATCTTGCTGAGTGATGTAATCTTCTCAAGTGCCATGTGGTGATTCTGTTGTTAGGGCTAATCTTACCTTTGTTGGATCTTGGGTGAGCGCATTTGCTTATGAATAGACCTAGCTATCTCTTTATATCTTAAGTGCTGATATCTGTTGTGGGCTATTGAGGAGGGTGAGGGCTATTAAGAGTGAGTCTGCTTCCTGACTAAAAAAACATGTTTCTCCCATTTCTCATCCAGGGAAATATAACATTCTGCCTTTTAAATATTTCTTAGAATATTTCATTCTTCTAGGAGAGGGGTGGGTGCTACCTTCCTACACGATCTTAGTGACATAGTTACACAGCAGATTACTGATATACAGAGGAATATGTGGAAATGAATAAAATTTTATTTTTCAATAGCTTCCTTTCAGAAGCAACCTTTCGAAAGCTCTTCAAACATTTTTTAAAGTTTCTAGCATTTAGAATTCCATGTTCCTGTCAATAAGCACATAATGTAAAAAGGGGAAAAAATTTTAAATGAAAGGAGAAAAAAGAAAAATGCCTTTCCAAAAACTAAATAGATTTGGGTGTACTTGAGTTAAGGTGAGAGACATTTGTAAAATACGCCTGATAGTAATCTGAGTAATTTCTTACGTTTCTATCTGACAGCACATAATCACACCAGCTGGGTAAAGAGACACATTTGTGGGTATATAGAGAACCCTCCCTCCACCCCCATTTTCGTCAGGGTCACCTATTGTTTTCTCTGTATTTGTTCCTGAAGGGTACTAGTGAGGTTTTGTTACGCCAATAGACCCTTCCCAGTTTAGCTCCTTTTCTGTATCTTCTGCTGCCATCTGGTGCTATGTGCAATGTTGCAGCTCAAGTATGGTAATCCTAAATGTGGAAATTTTGTTATCCAGATCATAGTTGTCTCAAAGGTGCTTCTTCAAAAGGCAAATTGGACTGTTTTTTTCCCAGAGGAGGAGGAAGAAGTTTCACTTCTCATCCAAGAAGCTTAATAAGTTCTGGCTAGATGGTGGGGATGATGGAAGGATTAGTTCAGAAAAGTTGGGTGGGGGTCAAAGGATCATATTTCTTTGCAGTCATCTGGTCATTACCATTCTCCCTGAGAGCTCTTGAGGCCACTAGGGGGTTGATCTGTGCCCTCAGGGTCATCTGTATCACAGTGCAAATGGGATGGAATGCTCTTGGAACTGCTGAAAGGATAGCTCTGTAGACAGGAGATGTGTCTTATCCTTCCCCCTCTGTTGAGCAACCCTATTGAGACAAGGTTGCTCAGTGTTAACATAAATTACCTCTTTTACTCCTCTTTCAAACCAATGGCCCTCTCTATCCACAATGTGGGTAAATATATGGCAATATATGACCATAACTATTCTCATTTTTTTTTGGTGTAGACATTTGTGAGAGAAGGGCAGAAAGCCTTCCGCGCCATTCATTGAAGAAATGGGTAACAAAGTCTGCAGATTTTATATAGCTTTAGGCTTTAAACAAAAAAGAGAATGTAAGATTCTCCCACTTATGGGTTTGGGATGACATGAAGTAACTGCGACACAGCAATAAAATAGTGTTGCTATGGTATGTTTATGCCATAGTCAGGAGCAGGTGGCGCACAAATTAAATCTTCATATACATATACACCCACAGTTCATCATTAATGATCTTTTTGGAGACGGGGGTAGGACAAGAATCAAACATACCACATATTTAATCTGTATATCTCAGTTCTCCAAATTTGCAATACTGCATCTGCATACTTCAAATTTGCATAAGTAAGGAGCAAAGTTCAGAGCAAGGTTTGATTGACTTCCACTCTGCCTGGGCAAACCCCATCTAATTTTAAAAATTTGTAACCCTTTGCTGAAATTGCTGGTGTTTCTCAGGAGGGAGTTCAGATCCATAGCTGGAGAACTCCTGTGCTAGCAAGTGATCAAAAGAAACAGGTTTATATTAGCATTACCATTTCCTATGCCTGGTCATCTGCTAAATCATTGGCTAGGTTCAGATAATTTACTAGGCCACAACCAAACAAATTACGGTAAGTTTTGGTGTTACATAAATATAGCCACTATAGGCTGCAATGATAATTTATAACTGATGTGAATCCAGTCATTCTGGTTTTGTTCTGTAAATAACGAGGGTCTAGTACTTTGGGTGAATGAAGTTCAGTAGGTTCTTCATCCCAAACAAACTTTAGGAATAAACATCCACACAGTCAGTTAATACAGAGATATATGTGCCAACTATGAATTATGATGCAGCTCCTCACTTCATACTCAAGTTCTGATATTGCAGCCCTTCACCTCATACTTACGTTCTGATGCAAATAGGTCACTCACAGACATCATGGTTCTTGTTTTATCCCTTGTCCCATCCCTCCCTCGTAGATACTTAGGTGTACATGTTTTTAAGACAAGTTTTTAAACGTGACTTCCTCTATAACAGATTACAGTAACTATTGTCTATGCAGTTGTGGTTACAGCTTGAGTTTTAGGAACAACTTGGAGCTTCAATTATGAATTTTCTGGGTCAGTTATCTTCTGTTTGTATACTATACTTGCTCTTTTGAAAATGTGCTATGTCTTCTAGAATGGGTTGCATATCACTCATCCAGGGATATTCCAAATCTCCCCTACCATGTAATTTTACATTTAGACTGATGGATCTTTCCCATTCCAACAGGTGAGAATTTGTATATTATACATAAGTGGTTCCTTTGCTTTGGGCCCTGTCCTGGGAAAGAGTTGGCGTTTATACAGAGTATTCACTCAAAAGGTTCCAGACAAAAGAGTGGTAAGTCTTGCACACAGAAAGAGGAGCAAAGCTGGAATTTTTGGTGATACAGTAGTTCTTGTTGTGGCCATGCTGAAGTTTGTGTGCAGGCTGCTTTTATTAAAATTGCTCTTGCTTGAGCATACTTCTGAGCACAAAGTTGATCAGTATCTACTGTAACCCAACTGTTTTCCAGTAGGCTCGAGGGAGGGGCAACTCCTGGGATATTCTCACAGCCTGATTGGTCCAAAGATTGAAGGAAATCTCTTTTAACTTCCTCCTTTCCCTGTTGGCTCCCAGTTCCTCTCAGTCTTTTGGTCCAAGCACTGTGTTTTTTGGTTCCCAGAGAATGAGTAAAATCTTTTAAAACAATTGTATTTGATTTGATCCATTGGCTATTTTAAATTCCAACCTTTCTGAGCTGCTATCGTGTTTTCCCAAAATACAACATGTCCTGAAACTAAAGCCTTGCCACATTTTTCGGGTGGGCAAAAATATAAGGCCCTCCCCGAAAATAAGCCTCCTGGCGAGGCAGAGCACCGCTCACCGACCTAGCGGTATCCCGAAGGGACCAAGCCACAGGGGTTGGGGGTGGTGATGGTGGAAGAAAGGCACTCACGTTGCTTGGTACCTTCGGGATACTGCTAGGTTGGGGAGTGGTGTTCTGCCTGGCTGGAGGGGGGAGTTGCTGGGCGGCTGCTCCCTTGCGAGGGGGCTCCCGAAGAGCCGGGCACAGCCTCAGGGCGAAACAGCCACAAGGTGACCATGCTCACGAGCAGCCACCCGGCAAACCCCCTCTCCAGTCGGGGAGAGCACCATTCACTGACCTAGGGAGCGGCCGCTCTAGGAGTATTTTCTATGGTTATGGGCAGGCTGCCGGAAGAAAACACTCCTTGAGCTGCCACTGCTGGAAGATTCGGAAGCTGAGTTCCAGAGTTTGGAAGCCAGACAAGAAGTTTTGCTCGGAGCTCGGCGGCAGCTGCAAGGACAGCTGGCCCAGGGCATGGTGAGTTTGGGAGGCATGAGAGTTGGGGGCAGAGCAGGCGCTTGGGCAATCCTCCTCTCCAGCCGGGCAGAGCGCCACATGGGGGTATCCCGAATGTGCCAATCCGCGGGAGCTGGGGGGCGGGCAGAGCGCCACATGGCTTGGCGCCTTAGGGATACTCCCTAGGTCAGTGAATGGTGCTCTGCCCGGCTGGAGAGGAGGTTTGCCGGGTGGCTGCTCATGAGCATGGTCGCCTCATGGCTGCTTCGCCCCTGAGGCTGTGCCCGGCTCTTCGAGAGAGCAGCCGGCTCTTCGAGGAAGCAGCTGCCTGGCAACCCCAAAATAATAAGCCCTCCTCCTCTAATAAGCCCAAGGCCATATTTCGTGGGTCAAAAAAAAAAAGACCCTGTTGTATTTTCGGGGAAACACAGTACTTGCAGGGACAGGGTCCTCCATCTTGCAGCAAGCGGAGGGAAAGGCTAATTGGCTTCACGCCTTTCCTCCCCCCCCCTGAGNTCTTCCTGTTCACCATCTCTTCGGGATGGTTTAGGTCCGATTGGACCACCCAGCAGCAAAAGTATCGGCGGAGGTCTCGGAGCATTGAGACCACACGTCTGTACTGTTGTGATGTTGGCTCCTCCCAGGAAAAAAAAACATTTGAAATAGGACAGGTAGCGTTACAGATTATAGGAGGTGAGAGATATGAATCTTTTGGATCACATATCCCTATTTTGAAAATACCCTTCCCCAGAACAATTACAAAACCAGTTAACCATCAAATTCCACATGTGCCAGGAAGCAAACATAAGTTTGTCCCATTAAATGTTCAAGGAGGAAGGTCCAATTAGGCTTACTGTTAATTATGTTTCCTGCATTCTTAAGTTTGGGATTGTGAAGAAATTCAATTGATAGGAATGAATGTTGGTATATGTATAGTAAACTGAATGCCTCTGCACATATCTAGAATAAATTAATTATTATGAAATATGGTTTCTCTCAGCTGTAAGCCAAGATATGCAGAACAGAAGGATTCATCGGAGCCATGAGAAAAATAATTTGAATGTTAAATTGGAATTTTAGAATCTGTGAAGCAGTTGTATAAGAAAATGTCCAGGAAACTTTCTGGATCTTAATATTTACATCGATTTTTCTGTCATTACTGAGTTCATGGAGAATATCTATGAGATTACTAAGAGTTAAACCTGACCTGGTAGTATGTAATCACTATTGCATAATTCCAGGGAATCCCTTCCAACTGCAAGAATAATTTGTGCTGTGCTCTACTTGAACCAAGCTCAAAAAAACTCAGTAGCAGCCATATGAACTTGCTTGATGAGGGAATCATTGAACTAGTTGCATTCTTGAATATAGTGAGGACGAACCAAAGGAATGCGCTTCTCTGTTTCTGTGCTAAGAATTGATAAATCACAAAATCTTTTTGTGAGATTTTCCAGTAGCAGACAGAAAGCACCCCAAAAAACGTTTTTCCCCATTTCCAGTTCTGAGCTTTGTAATATCCAATGAATGATTTTAACAACATTAGATAACTATTAAATATAATTGGCCTAGAAAAAACACAATACTTCCTCCCTAGAATGCTTTATTTTGAAATGAAAGTGCAGCACTTAGTTTTGTTTTTCCCTGTGCATTTAATAATAAATTACAGAAATCACTAGCACATAGTAAGAGAAGTAAATGATAAGGCGTATGAATGAAAAATAGTGTTTGTGGATCTAAAAGAAAGGGAGAGAATATAATAGAGCTGAATGTAGGTAGTTGGGTCTTGTGGAAGGAGGTTGAATACATGTAGGAAACAGTAGGTTTAGCTTTAATTATGAACAAAAGGGCTAAACATATACTTGAAATAATAAATTGGTGTCACCTAAATTCTTGTGAGTAAATGAGAAAAAGGACTTTTGGGTTTGAATGTATGATTTAAACAAAAATCTGTCCATTCATCTATGTAGAAAAGGAATGAAGTAGAAAGTATTATTGGCTGGCTTCAACACCCTGCCCCCCTTAAAATGGTGTTGGACTAGCAGCTTCTTTAGCTAGCTCTGGAGATATTTTCATTTTATTCAGCTTCTGTTATTGTTTTCTTATTCTTGAAATCCTATTTTATCTTATTTGAATTTCTCTTAAGATTTTATCTATTTTATAAATTTAAGCTCGACCTGCAGCTTATATAAGCATCTGACACTATGGATAAGAAAACAACAACACAGAACCAGCTCTGGACCTTTGAAACCAGTCAAAGTAACAAAACAACTGTAGATTAATGAACTCTTCATTTCAAAAGTTTTCTACTGAGGATAATCTTCAGTAAGCAGTTACAAAGTACTCTCCCAGCAATCAGATTAAATGTCTAATTTTCTTCTCCGTAATGAAAATTATGGATCCTTTGCATACTGGCTATTCTGAAGAATATATTACCTTTTAAACTATTTGATTATTTCTATAAAAAGTGGGAATCTGAAGAAAACCTTTGATGTCTTTAGAGGATTCTCTCAAGTAAAACACAAATTATTCCCAACCCTCTAATTAATAAGCAGCTAGTAAATACCAAATGTTGTGTCCCTTTAAGCTCAGATCATAAAAGGAATCTGATATATTAATATGAACATTTAATAATTTATTACATTTCTATAAAGCCCCATCTCACTTAAATGAGTTTACAACACTATAATAAAATAAGTTCTGGCTTTTTGTAATAACAGTATAACTGTGGGAAGATGAATTTCCATAGACTGTCCCTTTTTTCTAAGACAACTACTTCATAGCCATTGACCTTTGTGCATATTAAATTGAACTATAATTGCCAGACAGTGATTCAGGTTTTTTTTTTTAAGCAAACCAACAATATCAAAATGTGAGAACCTTTCTAAATAGCATTACATCAGCTCATACACTCCAAATTGCTTCCTCTACCTTGGACAGTGGCCAGTTTTTTTCTGCCTTATCTCTGACCTTGACACCAGGAAGTGTAGATAAATGTTTCACCAACACAAGGAAAATATTGCTTGGTCCTGTTGAAAGGGAACCGGTTATCTCGTATAGTATGATGACTAAAGATGAACTGAAATTGAAGGGCTTGCCCAAGCCCTGAAACTGGTCCAAGGGAAAGTAAAGCAGGAAATCTAGTTTCCTAGAGCCCCCAGAATTACAAGGTTTATAAGTGGATACTGTTAATGCTGTCCCTAGTGTGTCAGTCCCAGGTAGACCAAATTAAAAATACAGACCAGATGAGCTAATTCTACTTTAATGTAAGGCTGAAATAACAGAATCTTGTAAGCCTGAAAGTACACATCTCCTGCCATCTCCATTACTGCCTGAAAACTTCTGAGCTTCTTAATCTGCCCATTATGCAACTGCAGACTATGCCCTATCTTATCTGACCATTCCCTAGACAGAATCTCTTCTGTGTTCCAAAGTCATTTCCACATACCATTACAAGTGCCACAAGTGACCATGCTTCTGTACACTCATATCAAATAACCTTTTGAACCTGATCATATAATTGGAGTCATGTGGAATACCTATCAATAGCTTCTAGAGTCAGTTGACTCAGGCATGGTGTTTTAATTATAAATGTCTAACTTTCCTCTCACAGATTGCTTTCTGGATGGGACAAACTGGAGAATTATCTGTCCCAATTTATTTGGAATTATCCTAACATTGGTTTAACATTGGTAAGCAATTTAAAAGCCGGATTTGGCACTAGTGAGAGGTTTATTATACAAGGTTCTATCTAGTACAATTTAATTTCATACAATGTTTTTAGCCTACTAACTTCTTTGAAATTAGATTGTTGCTGGATAGGGATCATTTGCCACTGTCTCTTCACGTGGATATCCCCATCAAAGTTTGGGACAGTGACACTGGGTCCAGCCATTCTTAGTTTAGATGGCCTGAAGAGACTGCGAGGCAACTGCTTCTTACCTTGGATAGGTCCCTTGAGCTCTATGGGTTTGAGAGATCAAATTCTTCAGGAGCATTAGCCAATATAATGTTCTGATATACAACCTCTGGAGTTCATTATTAACACATTTGCACCTTGTGAGCTTTTGTTTTAGGCAGGCACCCTAGGCTAGAACTGCATGCAAGCTATGGTAGATCTGATGATAACTTTCAAATGTTACAAATTCAGTAACTGTCCCATTCAGGAATCAGCTATTTGATCTAAAAAAAGGTTTCAAAACCGAATAAAAAGAATCAATTTTTTACACAAGCTACATACATACAGTTAGGAATAACTTTTTTCCAGCTACAAAAAATAGAAATGCATCTTTTCTGGAAGATAGTTTCAAGCACTTCAATCAACCTGATGGCTCAGCCAGAATCTAAGATTCTGCCTAGGGTGGAAAGAATTCTATAACATGCTATGCAAGTTCTCCTCTACTAGCCCTCTGCCTCAATATATGCTCAGTAGTTCAGTACTTAGTACACAACATGTCAATCTTATATTCACAAAATAGCTTTAATATTTAGATTTCTTAGTATTGTACTGTCTGCATATATAGTGTTATGGTATTAATACATTTATTTTTATAGATTTTACTCATTTCTAAAATTTTAGAAATACTTAAGCTTTTTAATCAGTATTTTGTAACATCTTACAGCAATTTTACAAAATGTTGATCATGGCTGGAATAAAGTTGTTTTAATTTGATTATGATTTAAAAATGAGTGAATGAAAGAAAGAGATACATTTGTATCCAAAAGAATGAATGGAAGAACAATGAAAGAGGATATGAAAGCTGCTTGGCAATGAGTGAAACGAATGTTGCAACTTGTTACAAAAGCCTGTAGTTTACATAGACAGGTAAAAGTTGAACCTTGTGAAGTAGAGATTAGCTATTTTCAGATTAGACAGAACTGTTAGGTAAACACGAAGAAAGATGAATTCAGTACTCAACAGGACAAGAATGACTAAGAGTCCATTGACTTGAATGAGAAGCAGGAAAGGATTAGACAAATTTGGGCTGACAACTTAATTACTATGCCCAAATTTATATGTTGATTCCTTTTCTGATTCTAGGTAGTTTACAACATATGAAATAAAATAATATTATAAAAGCCATCCATAAAATCCAATATAAAGCAACATTAAAATTATAAGTAAATGTGCCTTCAAACAAGCCCAACTGTTCTGTTCAAGAAGTCTGTTTTCATAACATTCTGAAACCTTATCAGAAAAATGCACTTAACTTTGGTGTACAAGCTATTGAGGGGCTACTAGTGATACTCTCTGAGTAACTCCCCCCCCTCTGTTCCTTTCCAAGTTTTTAATTTCTTTATTTTAATAGTATCTTAGAATTATATTCTATTATAGGAAAATGGAAATAAAGTGTTAGGATGTTCAACATTTTGCAAACTAAGAGATTCTTAGCTATATATTTCAATTTTCAGCAGGTCATTGACAAAGGCTTGAACTGCATATTGAGATATGGCTACATCTGTAAATCTCTCTATTCTGAATTTTGGTTTATTCTTCTTCTGGGATTTAAGGTATGTAATTTATTCCAATATCTTATTGGTAAGAGCTTAAGCTCCATTGTCTGTTATGCATAGATACTTTAAAGATTAAGTTTATTTAATTTAGGCACAGTTTTTTGTACAAATATTCATAATTCATTATGCAAAGTTGAAAAAATTATTTTTAAAAACATCACATTTTTTAGCCAAAACTCTCAGAAATGCATTCATCTGTTGCATGGAAGATAGCTGGATGGAGCCCTGATTGATGAGTGTTGCTTCCTCAAGACAAGGAACATTTCTTGTATCTTCATTTCCTCTACTTCTATAAGGACATTGAATTCAAAGCAACTTGTAATAAATCCTAAAACTTTATAAGACAAGCTTAAAATAATTTCTACCTAGGAAATTACAATAATTTTGAATTCCTCCCCCCTCCCTCCAATCCATATACCTTTTCCAGCTGTGTCACAGAGGATTTCAACTCTGCTCGTCTGCCATGATGAAAATGTAAAAATGTAAAAAGAAAAAGGCAAAAGCTGCTGAAGCCAGGCTGGGTTAGCTGCTGCCAGAGTCCCCAATGGATGACTCTGCTTAACTGTTTAAAAAAAGCCTCTAAAAAAGTGCNACTGCAAACTTCAAAGAAGATTCTCACTGACTGAATCGACTGCTCTCTGCTTTTTTCTAGCCTGAAAAAAGAGATATCTAAGGTATTAAATAGATAACGAACCAGAACTCTGGAGGCAGCTCAGATAAGCTGCTGGCGGCGGCAGGCCCCTCCCCGGAAGCCTTGCTGATGGCCTTCTTAAAGATACGTTCAAGCACCCTGTCTTTTTGGTGCTCAAACTTGGAACTGGGCTTGGAGGCTTTTTTGCTGTGGGGCGAATTGGAGAGATGCTTGGTCTTTTTGCTTACCTTTGCCCCCCCCCTTTGAGTTTTCTCTGGCAATTGGGGGCCTCCCCAGTCTCCTTGGGACTATTGGCCACATCTACGAGGACCTGGTACCCCTCAGTGTCCGTGCTGCTATTTGCGGCTGCCATTTTAAAACGTGGCTTGAAACTTACAAACGGTGATTCGCGCCAGAACAAACTGAAGGCAGCAGCGTGCGATTCTCTTAATGACTCCCAATGGCCCTTTTCAATGGAAGGTGCTCAGCAGTCTTTGATCTCTCAAATCGCCTAGAGGCTTTGCGGTATTTCGCTGCCTCTCTGACCAGCCTCTGACTGACGATCTCTCTTGTGGTCCTTAAAAACGCCTGGAGGCTTTGCGGTATTTCTCTGCCTCTCTGTCAGCCTTCCCAGACGAATTGGAAGAAGCACGGGCGCTCCGCAGCATTTTTGACAGCTGCAGTTCGCCGCTCGACCTTTCTTTTAAAAAGGGAACAGCAAAGTGCTCCAGCACTAATCTCTGCTGTCAAAGGCACCTTCCAGGCAGGCTATGAAGCCTAGTCCAGAGATCTGTCCAACTGGTCAGCCTCTCCTCAGAATGATAGTTGTCTGAGGGAGCTCCGCAATACCCACAAAGGGCTAAAGGTGCAATTGCCCCCCCCCTGCAATTGGGGCTTGTGGTGAGATCCCTGGTCTACTCACAAAGTGTTGAAATTAATTTCTGGAGCTGTAAATGACACATCCGTCCTCATTGAGGGACTGAATCGGAAGCTGGGTCTGCCTAGCAATAGGGGCATGGCTTAACAGTCTTGTCAGACTCAGTCCAATCAATGAGCGGATGAAGTCAACCTAGTCTGGATGCTACTCCCCCAACTATGGAGAAACTGTTGATTAGCACTCTGTTGAATCATACTTAATGGTGAATTCCAATTTACTTCAGTGACAATATTTACAGTCTGCATCAAATGCCAGCTAACTCCCAAAAAGTTACTTCAATGTCTAAGCAGTATGGTCCTTTATTAGATTTCATCTGTTTTATATCTTACAACATTATGGTCTGATTGGAATTAATTTCTATATTTATTTTTATTTATTATACCCCATTTTATTCATATATGTATGATTATCATCATTTCCAGCAAACGTCATGACTGACTAGTTCCTCATTATAGAATTTTTGCATAAAGTGGAAAAATGCAATAATAATTTGTAGTTTTGATTAGAAAAAATGAGATAATGGAAAAAGTTAGGTTTCTTTTGTGATCATAGAGTAAGAGTTTCTTTTGGTTCTTCCTTTCTGCATTTCTGTGTTTTTTTCCTTTTCTGGTTTTTCTTTTGATTTGTTTGTGATGGTTTTTATGTTCTATGTAATATTTTTAATAAAAAATATTTAAAAAATATTTCCAGTAAAAATCAACGAGTTGTTTCTTATAATCTAATTTTAGATAGATGTTTGATTTCTGTCTATTTTGGACATACAGTATCTTGTTTTGATCTAGTTTATGTAATTGTGAGCCTGTCTAAGCAAATTTCCAATCTTTCATTTCCTTTGCTGTTTTTTTAACAAAGGCTTGCTTGATTTAACAAGTTTTATTGCTATACTTTAGATTTTCCCTTAGAAGAGAGTAGTTATGCTTGCATCAGTTTTTGCTATTGTTATTAATTCTATATTTTGTATTTTTTACTTATATTTTATCCCACTATACTAAATCACTCTATATTTCTAACTTCTATAATTCTGTGGAGAAAGAAAGTGCCATCATTAGATTATTGACTTTGAGGGATTGGATTTGGAAGGAGGGCTTCAGAGGTGAACAATCCACATTGGTCCTTTAGCAGACTGAATTACTAAAGAAACAATCAGACCGATAATTGTCAAACCTAAAGAAAAATACTGTATTTTTTGTAAAGAAATTTTGAATACCTCATGAAATGGGCATATTGAATTATTTGCATTTCAGATTATCAAAGATTTTCAGCTGCTGGTGATGTTATCACTGTTAGTTCTGGCTGATATTATCCTGCTCTTAATATGGATCTCCTTGGACCCAGTCCAGTGTCTCCAAAATCTTAATGTAGATGTGAAGGTAAGATAGAGAAAGATTCAAATTAAAGGATTGAATATCAAATAATGAATATTAACCTTTTTGTTTTGAATCGATAGAAAATGTACACATTGTCTATTATTACAAAAAAATGTGATATTTTTGCTCTTCATGTGTATGTGAAGCATCTCTGAACATAATGCAAGATATTCATGGATAATTTTTGAGTTAAAAATTGACAAGGCAAACCAGCAATTATACACATACACAGAGTTAAGAATATACTACATTTTATTTATTTTATGTATTAGCTAACTTCAGGCTTGTATTCTGCTTAAAATATTTAGTAACCTCTGATATTCAGTTTCTAAAATCATCACTTTTGTTTTAATTTGCAATACTAGAGTAGCCAAAATAAGACTGTTTCCCAGAAGTTGTTAATTTTTACAATAAATTCCAAAACTTTAGAGTAAAAATATCCCAAATGTATTTGGACCCTTAATCCATTTCTAACTTTCCTAGACCAAAAACATAATGTAGGTTTTTGTTGTTTATTTGAAATTCTTTTAAGTTCGCAAGCTTAATTTTAGCTAATTTTTTTGGTTCGGGGTTGAAGATAAATTCATCTAATGACGACTTTTAAAACTTACCATTCGAAAGCTTTAATATAATCAATAGGCAATTTCCAAAAGTGATGACAAAACTATAAGTTCATTAGAATTCTCTTTTAAGTAGTATTAAAGGCACTGAGATTTTAAAAAGGCACGTAGTTAATTACTAATCTCAGGGGGAAAAAAACATTTTTTTGCAAGAAATTTTTTTTTTTAAACAAACAACAAAAAAAAAATCATCATCATCTTACATTACATCTTGTAGAAAGTGTGTCAATTGGTTACAATTAGCTTTCATGCATCTCTTCTACAGTCATTACTTATATTCATATCAGATGTCAAAGATTCTTAATGAATCTTACTATCAACATAGTATAGATCTCATCTGACTGAAGTTGTTTTAGTGTCCTTTTGCCTAAAATAATCCATAGTTAAAAACACAACCACCTGATGGCATTTCATTAGNGTAGCCGCACTTCTTGTAGAGTGGGCAGTAATTGTCCCTGGTACACAGCCACAATACAGGCACTCAACCATCTGCCTAGGGTGGTAGATGTCACCTTGTTCCCCAGGGATTGCGGCTGGAAAGAAACAAATAATACTTCGGACTTACTAGTTGACAATGTTCTCTTAAGATAAATTCTTAGAGCCCTCCTCACGTCCAAGGTGTGCCATTTCTTCTCTAAAGGATGAGAAGGATCCGGACAGAAATTAGGCAGGACCAATTCCTGAGATCGATGGAAACAGGAGCAATACCTTGGGTATGAAAGAGAGATCCAGCCTCAAAACCACTCTGTCATGATGAAAAATACATAAATTATCTCTGGTAGACAATTCCTGTAGCTCAGATACCTCCTACTGGAGGTGATGGCATTCAAAAAGGCCACGTTGAGTATTAGAAACCTGAGAGTTACCTTCTGTAATGGTTCAAAGGGGGCACCTGTAAGAGCGTCCAGCATCTTGTGTAAATCCCAAGAAGGGTATCTTTGTACTGTGGGTGGCTTAAGATTAGAAGCCCCCTTTAGAAACCGTCTGACCATAGGATGTTGAGTCTGTGATTGTGACCTCCCACAAAGTAACACAGAAGATATTGCTGATACTTGTCTCCTAATGGTATTAGGAGCTAGCCCTTTTTCCAGTCCCGCTTGAAGAAAGTCCAAGACCTGTGGAATTGTGGCCCGTATTGGGTCAAGGTTCTTGCCGGCACACCATGTGCAGAAGGAACACCAGGTAGAGCTGTAGATAAGCTCCGTGGACAGTCTGCAGGCAGCCTGAATAGTCTGTATGACCCTGGAGGAATATTTGTTCTCCCTCAGAATGCTACGTTCAAGCGCCAAGCGGTCAACTGGAGCCATTGATGGTCCAGATGCTCCAGCGACCCCTGGCTGAGGGAAATCATTTCCTGAGGGATCCTTCAGGGTCTGTCCACCGATAAAGTCTGGAGATCGGTGAACCAAGGCTGTTGGGGCCAATGGGGAGCAATCATCAGCACTTCCGCCCCCTCCCCTGTGATCTTCTGTATGACCTTGGGAATCAGGGGCAATGGGGGGAAGCCATAAAGGAGTCCCGGGGGCCATTTGCAACAGAGAGCATCTACCCCCTCCGCATTTGATGAGGGAAACAGGGAGTAAAACCGTGGAAACTGAGCATTGAGTGAGGTGGCAAAGAAGTTGACTTCCAGGCGGCCAAAAAGGTCTACAATTGCCTGAAAGATTGATGGCTGGAGCTGCCACTCTGAATTGTCCACCTCGGTCCGGCTGAGCCAATCGGCCCTTACATTGTCCACCCCCGCTATATGCTCCATGGTGATTGATATTAAATTCCTCTTGGCCCAAAGGCCCAGTCTCTTGGCCTCCACCATGAGGGACTTTGACCTGGTCCCACCCTGCCTGCTTATATGTACCTTGGTGGCTATATTGTCAGTAAGGATAAGTACGTGCCTGCCACTGACAGAATGGCAAAACTGTTTGAGAGCCAGGCGGACCGCCTTGAGTTCCAACCAATTGATGTTGTGAGCGAGTTCTGCCTGGCTTCATTGTCCCTGTGCCATCTGCTCCTGTAGATGGGCCCCCCATCCGAACAGACTTGCATCCATTGTGACCGTCAACCGGTCTGGAGTCCTGAAGTATTCCCCCTTGAAGACCACTGGGGACTTCCACCATATTAGGGAATGGGATACTTCCGCTGGCAAGGTGACCCTGGCCTGGGAGCAGCTCATGAGCCTTCTCTGAAATGGTAAAAGAAACCATTGAAGGTCTCTGGTGTGCAGACGTGCCCAAGGGACAACCTAACAACTTGGACAATGTGGTCAAGGACACCCGTCTCTCCCTGATGACCTGGGAAGCCAACTCCCTAAGATTTTGCTGCCTCTCAGGCAACAGAAAAACTGTGCCTGACACTGTGTCTATCAAGGCCCCTAGATGAATCAGCCTTGTGGTAGGTTGCAAGTGGCTTTTTGCTATATTTATAGAAAAGCCATGGGCTCTTAAGGTTGACATGGTAATGTCCAGATCTCTCCTAGCATCCTCGACAGAGGTGGATTGTAACAATATATTATCTAAATAGCACTGGAGCCGTATTGGTACCTGTCTCAGGTATGCTGCCAGTGCTGCCAGTACCTTTGTACCTAGGTACAGATGACAATCCGAATGGTAAAGCCCTGTACTGAAACTGGTGCCCTAGGTAACAAAACCTAAGATACTGTCTGTGTTCAGGTGCTATAGGTATATGCAGGTAGGCCTCAGTAAGATCTATAGAAGTGAGGAAATCCCCCTGCCTTATACCCCCAGGGATAGAATGCAACGAATGCATTTTAAACCTCTGATAAAGCGGTTTAGGTGCTTGATGTCGAGAATAGCTCTTCAGCCGCCCGAGGCCCTTGGGATCACGAAAAGAATAGAATAATAACCCTGACCCTGTTGTTCTGGAGGCACAGAACGGATAGCCCTAATATGCAATAGGTGTTGAGTGGCTTCTTGCATAAGCTGCCTCCTGGTCGGGTTATTTGACACTGGACAGATCCGGAAAAACCTCAAGAGGGCTGGGGAGGAATTCAAGGGAGAGCCCTGATCTAATAGTGGATTGAACCCATGCATCTGAGGAAGATAAATTCCAAATGATTGGCAATGGGTGGGGAGCTGGGCCTAGACCTAGTTTATGTGGTAGGAGCAGCCTCCTCCTACCCCCCTCAAAAGGGACACTTCTGCTGTCTACCTTTCTCCTGTCAATCTGGCTGATATTTCTGCCTAAGGGGGTAGCCCCCCTGAAACTGTCTGAACCCTGAGTACCCAAACTCGGCATCCTGAAAGGAAGACTCATAATCCTGACCCCGAAAGGAGGATCTGTAATCTTGAGCACGAAAGGAAGACCGCCGGGGATACAGTGCAGCCCAGAAAATGATGCAGCCTGGAAATTGCCCTTTTTAGGTGTGGTGGGAAGCACCTTCCACTTGTCCTTGTTCTCTACCAAGAAGGGATCAAGAGCAGAACCAAAAAGAGACCCCCCCAGCGAAGGGCGCTGATGCCAGACGCCATTTATGATGTACGTCCACTTGCCACTGACGTAGCCATAGCAATCTGTGAGATGCTACAGAGGATGCAATTGCCCTAGAGGCAAACCTGGCTGGGGCCAAGGTAGCATCTGAGGAGAATTGAAGGGCTGCCACCAAATTGTTAATGTCCTGGTGGGATCTGACATCTGCTATCGTGATTCATTGTTGGAGATCCTGCAACCAGAGCAAAGAAGATCGATTAAAGAAGGAAGTGGTCATGGCCATTCTCACTAGCCAGGCCGCTGCCTGATGACCTCTCTGTCTTCAGGTTTTAGGGCATCCTCTGGTGCCCCAAGCCTATTTGCAGAGGTATGCAAGGCGGTCACCAGCGCATCGATAGTAGGTTGCAATAGCACCTGGGCAATGTCTTTGTCAACATTGAAAAAAGTCTTGTCATTCGAGGTGGGCATGTGGCCCGAAGTGGGAGACGCCCATTGTCTCTTGACCAGGTCAAGAAAGATCTTAGGAGTGGGCACCGTATCAGCCTCGATGGCTTGTTCAGCAAAGATCTCTGATTATATTGTTCAGCAAAGATCTCTGATGGTATTGTTCAGGAAAGTCTCTGATGATATTCCCTGAGGTTGAACCGTTGACTCTGATGCTTTTTCTACGAATTTTGCAGAGGCCTTTGCCTTGAATAACAAGGACTTGATAAAGATGGCTGAAACAGGCCAGAAAAGGTAGGTTTGGACGAAGGCATGCCCTCATCTTCAGAGAGATTTTCCTCTTTCATTTCGCCTTCCTCTGAATCTGAGTCCTGATCCTCCTGAGCAGGAGAAATGGGGTGGGAGGTCCTCTCCCTGAATATCCACTATCTCTGGAGCTCTAGAAAGTGGCTCCCCATGGGCCTGACCCTGTGGTTGCTGAAAGGCAACAGTCATATACTGCTGGAAGGCCTTGAACATAAACCCCTGCAAATTAGGTACACCCAGCATTTGTTCAGGATGTACCCCTGCAGAAGTAGATGGAATGCCATGCTGTGCTAATTCACTGGCAGGTCGAGGTACAGGTTGGGTACGTGGGGGAGACTGCCATCCCTGGGTGGAGCCCCAAATCCCTGAAGTGTCAAAGGGAATTCTCAAATTGAAAGAGGTGCCCCCCTCTGCCACTCCCCCAGGTGAAGGAAGTCCTGGCACTTGCCGCAGAGAATGCCTCTTACTAGGAACCTTGCCAGAGGGCTTCTTGCTGATGGCCTTCTTTTTTATTTTAAAATATTTTATTCATTTTCATTTTATATAATCACATATATACTGTGCAAAATTAAGGCCATATAACATTAAGCAATAAACATAACTCTTTTTATATTCCAAAATACAAAACCAACATAACGCTTCAACCCTCCATANACTATGGCTATTATTCCAACATAGCATTTTCATTTTGCATCAAGTGAGCAGCAAGGATATTTTATGAAATTTTATCAATATATGATTAGATTAACAGAATAGAAGTCTAGACTTAACTCATATTTGAACCTACTAAAACAATTTTCTTGTTATTTTTCAGGGAATCCTACTGATGTATGGAATTTATCTTGCGGGTCTAACAGATAATCTCAGTTGCCCACCAATTAACCAGTCCCTGACACTCATAAGTGCGGTAGCCATTATTTTCCTCTTTATTGGAATTATGCTGGTGGTCAATAATTTTTTCTACTTGTGGCACAATCTGGTATATGGATTAACTTCAGGAGGAATCTTTGTCTGTATGACTTCAATAAATTGTTTGATCTTTATCCCACAGGTAAGAAAGCAGATGAGTGGTATTGCAAATTACTTTTCCCCAGAGTCTTGCATATAAATGGAATTCCTGACATAAAGTAAATATACAAATTAATGGTTAATTGTATATCCTCAGCTCATAATAAATGTATTCTGCTTCCTGTAAGCTCATGACAGGACTCTCCTCATACTGGGACTTGCAAATATATTTTTCTTAGCTGTGCTGAACAGTGATTCAAGGACTTATGTAGTTGGGTGCCATACCACATATCCTACTTTAGCACTACATAGATAGTAGTAGAATTGTAAAATGATAAGAGGAATAATTTAAAAAACCTCATAGTATACACTTCTTTAATTTTAATGTTAGAATGTCATTAAAATGTATTTAAAAATTGAAATATAGGAGAAATGCATTAATTAGTTTAAATCTAGTTCTTGTTCCTTTATATAATTGTACCCATTTTTGAAGTATGATTTCTCCAAAGGTGAAGTATCTCTTTTAGTCTGAAGAAATGCAAGTATAATTTAAATGAGGAGGACACACTTTCCTCACACACTTTCCCTCTTGTGAGCAACTGTCCTTGACTTGTAAGATCAGCATAGACAACAGAGAGAGAGAGAAATAACATGCCAATTGAATTGGACTGTGGACTCATGAGGCAGTATCCTCCTTTTGTTCAGGCACCACAGGTCAGGAAATCAATGGTAAAAATCCAGAGTTTTGCTAATAATAAAAATCATTTAAAACCTGAAATCTGTCCTATGAAATTCAACAGTCATGGTTTTACAACACAGCAGTCTGTGCCTCCTTATAACATCAGAATTCCTTGAATGCTACTTGTGAGTGCTAATTGTTGACCTTTATAAAATGTGACATTACTTGCTTAAGAGCAACTAAATTGCACTGAGCTTTGGCAGCAAAGAAGTTCAATTCCAAGTCACTATCCGATAACCTCATGGAAACCGTGGGCTCCTCAGTTGATTTTAGTATAAAAGTTCATATATTTTAGTGTGGCCTATTTATTTGAATATGTCTTAAATATTTGGCTTTATCTCCCGTTGTCTGTAAAATGCAATAAAATTTGAGAGATATGTTGTTGTTTAATATGGATGAATTCTCAGGTATTTGTAAGAGTTTATTTCATATATGTGATTCAAACATTTTGTACACTACTGTGAAACATTTTGATGCTATAGCTGCCAAGTGACCTGCTCCATTGCTTTGTTGCCTTCTTTCTTTAAATAATGAAAAGGCCTGCAGTAAAATACTTTGTCCCAGAAAAGAGTGTCTCTGTGTGTGTGTCTGTGTGTGTGTGTGAAGGAGGGAGGGAGAGAAACAGCGACGTGGACAAAGGAAATGAACCTGGCCTTCCAAATGAAAAGTGTGCATGTGTACAAGGGAGTGAGATCTTTACCTATAGGGACAAAACGACTCAGCAGTTTCAAGAATCCTCCCTTTTCTCTATAGCTTTCACTTTTTGTCTACTGTACTCTTTCTTATCTTGATTTTTACTTCTGATGTGGTTGAGCTCTAATTCTATTGTAATGTTCAGCAGATCAGACAGTGGAAGACTTTTGAAAAACAAGAAATTGATACCAGCAACATGGCCAAATATTTTACAGGTTCCAACAAAAATTTCCACTCCACAATGTATAGTGATGAAGAGATATACCAACTGCTTGGGGAAAAAAATACCATGATACAGCAGCTTGCAGAGGTAGGAAATATTTACATAATTAGTAAAAAGAATGAAAATACAGCATCTCATCACTGTGCAACCATTCTCACATGCTATATGAACATAATTATAATATAGAATAAAAACTGAGCTCCAGATCTGAAAATAAGATAAAATAGGACAAAAACAAGAGAAAGGATTAAACTGATTTAAAAGGTAAAGGTTTCCCTGTCAGTCATGTCAGACTTTAGGGCAGTGTTTCCCAAACTTTTGACATATGTGTACCCCTTCTATAATTTTCGTAACGCTGAGTACCGCTCATAAAAAAACATATGCTTTAATAACCGTTAGATAACACTGCAATTCTCCGGCGTTTAAACAGCTCCGTGGCTCAACGTCAACTGTTAATGTTCCCGCAGTTTAAAAATGGCCAACCCCGAGCGGCGCGAGGAAGGCGCAAAAGTGCCCGCCATAATGAGTTGCGATACGATGTACGAAAATTATAGAAGGGGTACACATATGTCAAAAGTTTGGGAAACACTGCCCTAAAGTCTGACATGACTGACA